CTGCACCTTTTTGGTTCAGCTTCAAATTTCAGGTTATAATTATCAATTCAATTCAACACTTAACACAAAACGATCAAATAGTGAGGTAACACTTGGGGAATTGACCAACCAATTATTGAATTTAACTTAGTGGAGGAACATTGATGCTTACAATAGGATAAATTGTCGTGGGTAGGTCGGACTATATGTAAAGCAATTTTCTCTCGAACAATTACCTTATATTTGTCGAATTCTCTCTAACTTCAACACTAGATGGAAGATGTCCAGCCCTCATCCTCATCAAATCCATTCTCTCGAGCTAGATACAAAGGATAGATTCCATGTTTCACTTTCTCAAGCTGAAATCATTGTGACCCAACTAAGGATGCTAAATTTACTACTTTGGCTTTGCATTTCTCTCTCAAGCAAGCACCAAACACTGAACTTGTTACGCTAATCACACAAGACAACCTCAAAACGCAGAAGCAATTCAGACCCACTTCAAATTAACACCATTATTCGCAAATCAATGACACCCACTTAGTAAAACTCACCAACTGGTCACATAGTCAAAACCACAAGGAGAGGGTTTTAGCCAATCATAGCAAAAAGAGGAAAATCAACATCTGCCATGTTTTTCATAGCTGGGTAAAAACGAAGATTGAAAGTTAAAGTTAACTAAAAATCTCCTCTATTAGAAAACCTCAAAGAAAGTTTTTGCTAAAATCACTAGGAAATCTCCCCTAGTAGTGTTCTTTCTCTCTATCTTTTATTCCTCCCGTTTCTGAATACTCTCTCTCTAGCAAAAATCAATTTATGCAAGTCTGATGTGTGATTGTTTAGGACCAATCGGCGAGGTAAGTCGGGCTTTGCCGACATTTCAGCGATTTGCCGATTTTCCTTCCTCTCGACTTCATTTTTCCACTTCTTCTTAGTCCAGCAACTGTAATTTTAGGCGATCCAGATCGGGATAACCAAGTGGTTCCACGAGTCTCCCTTTCTCCTTTCATCTTGCCCATCAGCACTTATCTGGATCTCCATCAGTACTTTTGGCGACCTGGTCATCCAACGCTGAAGCGATCGGTGACACGCCGAATGAAACTACTGCTCACCGAGGTTACCCCTAATTTAGCTTCATCATTCTGTAAATTTAGGCAGTAGAGTGGAAACTTGGCGAGTCAACGAGTGACATCGGCGATCATCAAGCCTGTTTTTCCCTTCTCTTTTTTGCTTGTGTTGTCTCTATTTCCCATTTCTGCCCTAGCTTTGTTCCTTAATCCATGTACCTGGAAATCAAGGGTTTTGCATTAGTTATTTGTACAAATTAAGCATTTGAGTACACTAAATCATTGTAAATAAAGCCCTAAATTAGTCCAAACCTCGGACTCATCACTCCCCAATCT